CTCCTCCTAAGAGCGGCCAGAACTTTTCCCAAAATTCTTTAGTCAGCCCGTCGATTCCTGGAGACTTGGTGTTGTTCATATTTTGGACAGCAAATTGCAGCTCTTCCATGGTGATGGGCTTGTCCAGACCTTCTGCTTGTTCTTGAGATATCATTTATTCCAGGTATTGCAGCATCCTAGTTCGTGCCTCTCTGGTGCTGGGCATAGGGGTCTTCGTGTGATGGAGCTCTTCGTAGAATTCCTTTGCTACGTTCAACATTCCTTCGCTATCTTTCGCTGTTTCATTTGGATTGGGGAGGGTTTTCAGGCCTTCTATCGCATTAGCCCTTGAGTTTGCTTTGATTCTTGGGAAGAAGTGTTTTGACATTGACTCGCTTAACTCATATTCGTTCATTCTGGCTCTTATTTGTAGTCCCTTTAGTTCCCACCATCTCCACATAGTGAGTTGTTCTCTTGCCTTTTCAAAAATGTCTCTGTAGAGTGCCGAAGAGGGGTTATCGATCAGATTTGTCTCTGCGATCTTCAGGACTGTTTCCAATGCTTGCTTCCTCTGTTTCCTGTCGGCCACTAATTTCCTTGAGATTTTAGTTATTGTCTGTGATAATGTGGAGTAGCTTTCCTGAAACCACTCCCACCGATCCTGTATGGGTAGGTAGGTGCCCTTTAAATTCTGCCAACAATCCTGAACTTCTGCTTGAAAAATCCGTCTCAGTGGGAGGGAGGTGTTGAGTTTGTGAAAGCTGGACCCCTTTTTAACATACTGTTCGAAGCTGATTATTAGTTTGATGGGTTTGTGATCCAGACCCGGGTATGGTGCGAGAACCAGGATCTCGGCGCTTTTGGCTGTCCCCATTAGTGTCCTTGAAATCAGGAAATAGTCAATGAAGGAGAAAGCAGTATGGTGGGCATGGTTCTTTTTAACCAATGTGAAGGCTCTTGTTCCTGAATGCAAAGTCCGGTATGGTTCGACTAGATTGTAGTCGATCATCAGCTTTTGGATGGGCACCGGCTCCTGTGTATGCTGACCAGCCGCAGACCTAGATATGCGATCCGTGGTGGGGTCTATAGTTGCGTTCCAATCACCGGCCAAAATACAGGGCGATAAATGGGGGATCAGATGGCCGATGTTTGTTATAAAAGTTTATCTGTTTGAAGAGTTGTTCGGTGAGTAAACATTGATTATTCTGAACTCTTTGTCCGTCTACTTTGCATCCATAAGGCACCACCTACCTTCTACCGTGTCCGCCTCTTTGCCCAATATCGACCCTGCCGTGTATAAGCGGGATGACTTGGGTATAAGGATGGCTGTACCTTTCGTACTTGTTGTATTGTCTGAGGACCATATTTCATCTTTCATTCCTCCCAATTTCCTTGATAAGAGTTTCCGATGAGAAGGTAAGGTGAGTTTCTTGTAGCAATATGATATCTGCCAGTTTGTTTGTGTGAATGGTAAGACCTTTGATTATATCTTGCATTTTTTCTTCATTGTCGATAATATTTCTGAGCCCATTAATATTCCAGCTCCTAATGACTATCCCTTGTGTCTTCCAGTCTACCCGGTCTTCCTTTTCGTTTGCCCCCTTTCTAAAAATCAGAAAATCTCCATCATTGAGTGCGATCATAGTATAGACGTCCTAAGAGGGGGCCTGATCGCTTGCATCCATCTCTGACGACCCATCACCGGGCGGGTCCTGAAGCACCGTGGTGAGGGAATCATCTAGCTTATACTCCCCCACACTTCCACTGGTTCCCTGTCCCGGGACAACGGCCGGTTCTGATCCTACTCCTTTGTCCTCATCTTCCCACTCCTCCATAGCACTCTTGGAGTAATCACTTCTGTAATATCTGTCCAGATCTTGCTGACAAAGGATGGCCTCGCCCCTCAAATGGCCCAAAATATACTCATTGCTGGGGCGTGCACTAGCCATTAATACATCTATTTTTTTCTATGATGTGGTACATAGCGTCAATCTGGACCGTTCCCGACCATACAATCAAGGAACTTAATCGTAAAGCAAGAGCATACTTGTGGTCAGGTGACCCAAACAAAGAGAACTGCATACCAAAGATAGCTTGGCATTACATCACAAGGAAACCAGCCAAAGGAGGTCTTGGTATCATAGACCTCAAACAGGAAACCAAAGCCTTACAAGTCAAATGGATAGTCGAACTACTGACTAAACCTGGCACGGCATGGAATAAACTGGCCTTGGATAGCATTAGGGCCCTAGCACCTACAGCCACACCGACAAATATGTCCAGACTGTTCTGGGTAATGACCAAGGAATGGAGTCCAAGAACAGGGCGCAGAAATCAACGAAGAGGAACCGAGCCAAATGAAGTCAGAGCCCCTACACCATATTGAACTGCATTGTTACGGATATGCCAGGAAGTCATGCCAAGGAAAGTGGGTAGACCCAAATCCAAAGAAGAGGTACTGAGGCAACCCTTGTTTGGTAATCCGTGGGTGAGAGATGAAAGTGATCACCAACTATCCCTTAAGCCTAGAGGAAGGAGATGGTTATCATGGATCAAACATGGAGTTTGGAAAGTGAGCCATCTCTGGAACGAGGAGAAAACTTACCTCCCAGCTCAAAGGATGTCACCAACGAGATGAGAACTTACAATCTATTGTCAACTGCATCGGGAAGGAGTTGTTAAGCGAAGTCTCAACTTGGAAATCGGGTGAATGGGGGGAGTGAGGGTGCAGGATTTAACCCCCACAAGGGCCTATCAATTCTCCCATAAACAACAAGGGTCGGATACTCTGGCAGTGTTTACCTCCTTCCCGATTACCCCCTCCACGCAAGGCCTTTCATCGGAGTGGGCTTGGACACTAAACCCTTTGGTACTCAGAAAAGTCACAGTGTTGGGTTCATGGCCAAAAACAATCTTCAGAATAGATTCAAGACTTGGAATTTGATCCAGCGGAGTGGGCTTGGACACCAGACCAAAGCAGAAGCCTCGAAACTAAAGTCTCCATTCAGGAATACACAGTCAAGCTGGGATACAACTTACTCCCCAAAACTAAGGATCCTGAACCAACGATCAAGCACAGATGGCAGAAGCTAATAGGTCAAGACGCTAGTCAGATCCCACAAATACCATGGAAAAAATTCAAGTCAATTCGTGCGGTTAAATCAAAAGCCTACAATGGCTCATCTCATACGTAGCTCTACCGGTCAACCAGTGGCTGCATATCAGAAGAAGCAAGAATGACCCTAACAGTTCAGATTTATGCGCGGTATGTTCAGAAAATGAACCTGAAGATATGCTACACTGCCTGATGCGCTGTAGAAAGGCGACCGAATACTGGGCGAGGGCCTCGGATCTCTGGGATTCCCTCTTTTCGTCTCCCCTCCCTGAACATCCCATCCAACTCCTCCTATGGACTAACATCCCACCTCAATTCCACAAGACAGAGAAAACGTGGTTTGGAATGATCAGAAAGGTAACGCTGTGGTCCATCTGGAAGGAAAGGTGCTGTAGAACCATTGAGGGACTCACAACTCCAAGGGAGAAGGTATGGGCGGAGACAAGGACTTTGATTCAGACGGAGATCCTTTGCAAGTGGCACAAGACGAGACAGTCCATGCCAGATGATGAAGAGCAAGTCAAGGCAAAATTCACTAAGGTGTGGCTTGCAAGGGGCAAAGTTGCAGAGATAAATGACTTCCACATACGATGGAAAGACTGGCACAACTCAGAAACAGGGTGGAAAAGGCAGAGATCCCAACCAGCAGAAGGACAACATCCATCACAGGTCACATAACTTTGGAGGGCGAATCCCAAGACTGCAACTTCCGTAGCTTCTCTTACCTTTCTTGCTCTTTATTATTTATCTGGCAGGCCCATGTAGTGGACCTGAGAGGAAAGGTGTAAGTAAGGCAAGCTGGCAGTCAATCCTCCACGATGCGGGAGTAATCAATGCTGGTCAGGGTTCCTTCGGCCAGACCGAAGGAAGCGTGAGTGTGTCATGATGTAATATTTATTTCTGACTTGCCGGTTGAATAGGAACCGGGCTGATGCTCCTCAGAATGGAAATAGAGCCAGGGCCGTCAGGACCTGTTCAAAAAAAAAGAAAAAAGAAAAAAAGAAAAAAAAAAAAAAAAAGAAGAAGAATCAGGTCCTTATGGTCCTGGCTTCATATCAATTCTGGGGAGCGTCAGTATGGTTCCTATTCCCCCGGAAGTGAAAATAACAGGATTACATCATGTGCCCACTCACGCAACCTTCCGTGCGGCCGAAGGGTCCCTGAACAGCATTGATTAGCCATAGGACTGTACTTAGCTTTGTTTGTTAATTAGGTTGGCGAAGAAAGATTCCTCCCGTTGCTGCATTGCCACTGACACATTCATTTTAGGGCACCTCTTTCATCTGTACCCTCTTGGTTTCTATCCGGTCCATCATTCACGCATCCTTGATTGCTTATCCCCTTTCTCTTTTCCCTCAATGCTTACAAAAGGGCGATGTCCTTGAAGTATCATCATTGAACTGGCCAGTCCCAGGTAATTCATAACTATTGTATTCTGTTCATCTCGTTGCATCTGGATTCGAACAAGGGTCTCTATTTCCACAGTTCATACATCTACCAACTGAGCTAGGCTCGCTGGTGCCCTTTTTTTTTTTTTTTATCCAATGCTTATCCCCTTTCTTCCCCCTCCCCTCTTAAACCACCAGTACCTTTCCCAGCTATTTTGCCGAGACGCGCCGGCCAACGCAGGAGGCCAGAGGGGTTCGGTGCTACCACACCGAAATGGCTGGCGGCGCCAGCCAAAATGAATCCCCCACCGGTTCGTTTTTTTTTTGGCGCGCCGGGCGATTTTAGGCTCGGCATCTATAGCTGAGAAAGGTACTGGTGGTTCAATGCTTATCCCCATTCAAGTCGACAGTGTGTATGACTCCCCTTCCATATCCATGTTGCCTTATTCCCCTCCGTTGCACAGATACTCACATCGACACAACCTGTCGTCCGTGTACTTGGTCTGTGTGTTCTGCAGTCTAGTTGCATTGCACATTCGCTTAAGACAGTACTTGGCAGATTACCAAGCGATGAAGAGAGCAGCATTTCAGAAGAGCACGCAGCTGCGAGACTCAGAGAGTGCTGATCTCAACCTTGTTCTAGAGCATGAGACTCGCAGCTCGGTGTCTATGGCAATGAGTGGGGATGAGGGATACTCTAGGCCCCCCAAGCTCCGGAAACTGGGTCCTTGGCCCTCTGCTGAGGAATGCTACATGCACAGAGATGAGGTGTCTTCAGTCCCCCCTGCTGTACTGCCTGAAGAGGCTGATACTCCACTGCAGTCTATGGATGGTAATAGGGCTGGAGAGAGGGATGGAAATAGGGATAGGGTAGCAGATGAGCCGACAGCTGCGCAAAGTCAGCGCATTGAAACCACGAGAAGGTCGACGCGCTGGTTGAGGATGCGCATCGGTGGGAGAAGGGTTCCCAATCTAACTGCACAGGCGGCGAGCTCACCCACGCCTGCGGCTGCCGGAACTGACTCCTGGAGGCCATCGATGACTGCTTGGGCAATTTGCAAGGCATCTGCAGAGCATGAATTTGGTCTGCATGGAGCTGGAGTTATCGAACAAGACGAGCTGGCTGCCACTCCGTCGGGGCCACGGAGGGAGAAAGAGATGAAGGGATACGGACCTGCTACGAAGGATGGCAGAAATGCTGGTGTCGGAGCAAAGGGTGCGGGAAGAGGCGGCTTCAGTGTGGACGCTCTTCGGAATCGTAAAACTCGCCAAGGTGTGTGCATATTTCGTCAGAGTTGTGTGATTGTATGTCAGGGAGGGGAAGAGGGGACAGAGCGGAGCACAGAGAGATGGAGAAAGGGGTGTTAGTGTTGGGGGTGCAAGCGGAGTGTCATGTCCTTTTCCTGAACCCACCCGCGTGCACATCTCTTCTTCTCTCGTTCTCACAGGTGTCCTTTTTCCAAGTAATTGAGGCGACAAACCAGCAGTCCCCCTTACATCAGCAACAGAAGCAAATATTGGTTCTTCACGATGAAAGGAAGCCCCTCTAGCCACTGCCCTTCCCCCCCCCCCCCCCCCCCCCCCCAAAGACCCACAGTCCAGGTTATCTCCTCAGTACACCACAGCATCTATTATGACGGAAAACCATCATTTGCAACCTCTGCGATCAACAGGTCATTGATATTAGCAAAAGTCATTGAAAACACTGGAGTTGTAAACAACTGGGCTACCAGCTGGGCTGCCCAGGCCACCTTAGGCTGCCCGGGTGACCGGGCGTGCAAGGTCCAGGCAAAACGTGGACACGGTCTCTGCCAAAAGAAAGAATGTGTTTTTTTAGAAATCCAAAAAAGTTGAAAAACAACTATGATATGCAGGATAATAAATCAAACAACTTTCGCCTGAGGGTGAGCTCGAATTCATTTCCAATTTCCAAATTAAATGAGGCCATATGGGTCCAGGCCCCAGGGTGCTCCAGCCTGGGTGGCCCAGCCAGGCAAGTGGTCCCCATCCACTCTGGTAGCCAAGGTAAACAATTAGTTTTTCAAATTTATCCGGACAGACCATTTGGACGGCATTCTTGCATGAACTTTCGCACGCATATTGACCTGGCGGTCCCTCTGGAAGTGGGAGTCATAAGTTCCCCTAACCATGATTCAGACCATGACCTGCATAAGCCGAGTGCAAAGAACAAGGCTCTGTTACTTTTTAAGTTTTGATTTGGAATGTTTAAGCCGCTGAGCTAATGGCTTGTTCCATTCTTACTTGCCTCCCTTTTGCAGATGAATATAGAGTTTCCAGAAGCAAAGCACGTTGTCGTGCCTTGGATTATATCTTCGAACGAGAGATGATCGGAAGCATAGGTAGCTGGTCACACGAAGTTGGGCGATCCAGGAAACGGTGGACGTCACTATGCCAGGGTAGGTTGCCATTCTTCTCCTCACTTACCTGTGCAGTGTTTGCACTCTTTTGTTTTGTTTTGTTTTTCACCCAGCGTTCTTTCGTCGATTTTCCTGTTTTCTTTTCTTCTTCTTCTTCTTCTTTTTTTTTTTTTTTTTTTTTTTTTTTTTTTTTTTAACCAATGTTAATATCATTGCTTACTCTTATAGTTTTTTGACACCTATTTGTGTGTGTGTGTGTGTGTGTGTGTGTGTGTGTGTGTGTGTGTGTGTGTGTGTGTGTGTGTGTTTCCCTGCCGAATCGACGACAAGGCCACTCTACTGCTTACAAGACGGTCACCCCGTTCCCAAAAAACTTCGGTGGACCGTTTCTGGATTTATTTGTGTCATCCTTGAAAGCGCAGGGGCCATGCTAATCTTCTCTCTTACAGTATCATTCCAATTTTAACGGGTGTCCCGAAGGAGTGCTATTTGTGTTTTAGGGCCTCGCCACACCACTGTCGAAACGAAAAAAGTTCGAGTGCATCTTCACGCAGAGCGTGGCAAGATGCATCGGTTACTATGAATGGCAACTGATGCATTATTTCTTTTTTCGTTTCGACAGTGGTGTGGCGAGGCCCTTAATCCGAGAACTCCATCCGATGCTATTTGGAAATTGCTGTGACTATCGTGGTCATACTTTATATGCATGGCTTCTTGGTCGTTGACTCGACCTCGTTGCATTGCATGCATTGTGCGCGACTGCATGGTCGCCTTGCTCTCTTCCGTATCTTAGGTTTTCAACTGAAGCCATAATCATTATCATGTTTCTTCATTTGCCTTAAACCACCAGTACGTACTAAAGTTGTGCCCGGTAACAAGCCACGATTTAGGAAACGTACGGGCCACTACAGGATCGTCCAGATTCTTCGGACTAATAAGAAACGGTTCTACTACTTTCTTAAAGTTTCTTTCCCCACGGCCGATAGCTGAGCCAAGTACTGGTGATTTAACCAAACACAATACAAAGTATTACAAACTCAATAATCGGCAATATACACAAATCTGAATGCAAAGTTCAATTACTATGCATGCGAAGTGCAAACTGAAAAATGTAATATGGAAAGAGTGCAAACAAAGGACTGCAACCAAAAAAAAAAAAAAAAAAAGGGAGTGCACACAGAATGCAAACTTAACGTAACGTAACGTAATGTAATGGCAAAGTTGCAAACAGATCGCTAACGGAACGCGTACGAACAAAATTTATAGGGATGGAGGAGGTCCTGGAGCCTACCGTTCCGTACAACATAGCGTGCAGCTGGACAAGGCCTCCTGGTTCAAAGCGGCTGGGCACGACGATGAAGTCGCATCCTGCGACCATCATGTGTGCCAGTCGAGGACTGAATCGTGTTATTGCCCGAACCTGCGTCGGGAACATGCTCTCTAGCTGCTGAAGCTCCAGTTCAAAATGCCGTTTGCCAGTGCCCTGCAGTAGCTCACGGCACAGCAGATTGACGCAAATCACACGTCATTCATTCATGCACATAGTCGTGAGACAACCAAGAGTTGGAAGTACGCAAAATAATTTAGTACGTGAGAAGTACCAGCACGCATGCAGGGTTACATGCATGGCATCCCCGACGTCACGACGTAGCGTTTCGACAGTGCACCACACGCACAATGACGGTGTACCAGCTGTCAGCTGTACTCACACTAGGCCCTCAAAATCACAAAATCCCAAAATGAGCGGCCAGATCTAGTCGTGTCTTTACAAGGACTCGATCTGGCCGCTCATTTTGTGATTTTCCGATTTTGAGGGCCTAGTGTGAGTATGCCCAGGTGGCAGAGAGAGATCACGAAATCTCCTCCGTTCCGTTTCTTTTTTTTTTTAATCGAGACAACATCCGGTAGTAGGCATACATCGCAGGCGATTCTTTTATTCTTTTTTTCCCTTTTTTAAAAATTTCAATTATGCTTTCTCCTATCCTGACAGCTCCTGGAATGTGTTTTTTTTTTTTTTTTTTTTAATAATAAAATTGCACTCATTACCAACAGAAAACTTAAGAGGCCGGGGACCTCACAATTCAACCCGGATTACTGACAGAAAAAGACAGAAGAAGAAGAAGACTTAGAGGCCGGGGATTTCCAAGAAGAAGTTAGAAAAAGACAGAAGAAGAAGAAGACTTAGAGGCCGGGGACCTCACAATTCAACCCGGATTACCAACAGAAAACTTAGAGGCCGGGGATTTCCAAGAAGAAGTTAGAAACGAAAAAAGGGAAAGAAGAAGAAGAAGAAGAAGAAGAAGAAGAAGAAGACAAGACAGAAAAAGACAGAAGAAGAAGACAAAGGAAGAAGAAGAAGAAGAAGAAGAAGAAGACGAAGACGTAGACGAAGACGAAGAAGACAAAGGAAAAAGAAGAAGAAGAAGAAGAAGAAGAGGAAGAAGAAGAAGAAGACAAAAAAACGGGGGGAGGAGGAGGACGAGAAGTATAGAAGAAGAAGAAGAAGAAGAAGAAGAAGAAGAAGAAGAAGAAGAAGAAGAAGAAGAAGTAGAAGACGACGAAGAAGAAGTATATGCCTTAGGCTGAAAGTTAGACATGCAACCTTTGATAAACAGATCATAATTGAATTGAAAAGTGAAGAAGAAAAATTGAAACGCCAAATTGAATGAAGAAACGACAAAGAGGGATATTATTAAGGTTCACACGCAGCTGACCAGTACAACGAACTGGGCGTCTTCCAGGTTATCCTGCTGCTGGAGGAAAATCGGAATCGCTGCTGCTAGGATGTCAGACCCCTTTTGCTCATCCAGCCGTCCCATGAACCCGAACAGGGGTACATCTGGCCGCACAGGCAACCCTGCTTCGGCCTGCAGCAGCTCCTTCACGGTCGGTTTCACCTCGAATACCTGCCAATCCCGATCCCAACACATGCATGCAGCACCGTCCAGGTGCAGAGCAGGCAACAGAGACCAAAGTCAAAGTCAAAGTCAGACCCGATTCCGCCAGAAGACCCAACCAGAGACCAAAATCACCAAAGTCAACGTCAGACCCGATTCTGCCAGAAGACCCAACCAAGCCTGAATGGTACACAAGCAAATGTGAGTCATATATCTGTCGAGGAAAAGTTACAGAGCATGAGTTCGACTCCGGACAGAATCAGGTGGATACAGATCATACAGTCATGATGTTAATAATGGGCCCTTGAAGGCCAGATGCTAATATTGGGGCCATGGGCCCTTCGAAGGCCAGACGTTAATATTAGGGTCAGGGGCCCTTGAAAGCCAAATGTGACTGTTTTGAGGACCAGATCATCATCAGTTTGTTGGTTTTTCTACCCCTTTTTTTTACCCCTTTTTTTTACCCCTTTTTTTTACCCCTTTTTTTTTTCACAGGGGTACACAGCTACTCAGCGGTGAATCCGAGATGAACCCAGATAATTCATCAAAAGAATCTCTCAAAACCTCTGCTCTCTAGAGCATCAGTATGGCAGTGGTAATAAAGGTCCTGACCAGTGGGCAGCATCATGGAAATAATCTAAAAGCACACGCCAGGCCCATTCCTCCGCACGCCCAGAAGCTGCACCTGGTCTATCAGAGGATGCTCAAGAGACGGATGTGGTCACTGGTCATATGATGACTCATATGGTCATTCCAGGTGCAGGAGCAGGCTTTTTTTTTTTTTTTTTTTTGCAGGCAGGCAGGCATAGCAACTCGAACAACAGACAAATTGAAAGTCGAAACACAGAGAAAGTTAGATAAGTCACATGTGCCTGCTGTCTGCGACCGACCCAGCAGCCGGGCTGCAGTGCATTCGCCTACTACCGTCTTCACCCGAATAGAGCGCCCCTCGGTCATTATGGCCGCATCTCGAGTCTCGACTGAAAGTCGAGCCAAATGCAGATATAATGAACGACGGGCGCTCTATTCGGGTGAAGAGGGTAGGGTCAGGTACCTCTTGGGGGGATGGCCCAATAAATTGTACCCATGGGGAGTAGGCGGTTCTTGACGATGAGAACGAAACGGCTCCTCACAGCAACTCAGGGGGACCGAGGGTGACACCTGTGCGACGGGGTGGCTACCGTAAAAAAGGCCTCCCCGTGCGGGATACTCTACTAGGGGTAGTAAGCCGTTTACCCTGAGGTCAGGCGGGTTGGTACCTGCGCTCATGAGCTGAAATGCCATCTTCCCTACCGGGCCTACCCTGAAAAAAAAAGGGAACACAGAGAAAGTCAGACACCCAATGCAGAAAAGAACAGAGTCTGAGAGAGACAGAGATAGACAGAGATAGACAGAAAAACAGAGACAGACGAAAGACAGACAGACAGACAGACACACACACAAAGGAGGATGGACAAGGACAGACAAAAGACAAGAACAAACGTAGCTGCAGACAAAAATGGAAACAGATAACAGACAGATATTAAACAGAAAGAGAGATGGCTGAGAGCATACAGGGATCACATTTCACATTGCCAAGTGGTTACAAGGACCCCGAGCCCAATTTTCAGCCCCAGGACTGACCCCCCATTTTCAGCCCCAGGCCTGACTAACGGCCTCAAGAGTCAAAACTGAAACTGATATTCAGGGTTTAAACTTAAAAGCCAAAATTTGTGTTTCCATTTTCGAAATTTGGGTTGGGCAAATTTTGACGAGTTTTGCATGAAAGTGCGCACCACCATTAAACTGTATTATGCTCTTTTTTTTTTTTTTTTTTTTTTTTTTCGTTTGTTTGTTTCCTAGATTGTTTTTCGCTGTTAGTTAGTATGGTGTTCACTCTTATGTATGGTGACCGGTTTGATTAAAAGGGGCCTTGGTTTTCTTATAATGAGCACGACAACTTTCTGAAAATTCGGCCCTCCTGGCAGGGTGGGCGAAACCTAATTCCTGTCTGTTGAAAGACAGCGCATGCAGGGCATCGCAGGCACTGCCAGGCAGACACACACACACTGTGATACAGACGAAACCGGACAGACAGACAGCCAAAAAAAACTGTCATACAGACGGTCAAGTGGAGAGAGAGAGAGAGAGAGAGAGAGAGAGAGAGA